GAAACTAAGTAGATAACAACAAAGAAAAAATTATTATTACAAGTTAAATGAAATAAACTACGTTTGACCAAAACCAAAATCAGCATACACTAAAAACTTTAATATTCTAGTAAACAACTTTTATTATTTTACGCCCACCAGCAGCCGCAAAAGTATTCGTAGATCAAATGTATGTAGTTTCGTCGATTTGTCAAATTTAATCGTTATTTCACAGGTCGACAATGCGTACTGAGTCTATGTCTCGAATTTATAATTTGGGTAACAAAATTGCATTGTGAGTTGGATATATGAAATTTTATACATATGCACGTATGTATGTATACTAAACTTGATATGGGGCTAGCCTATTGAAATGGTAAGTATTGAGAAATATTTACAATTTACTGTTAAAGTGTCTATCATTCTTAGTAGATGACGTTGTGACTACGCTTTCATATAATACATTATATATTCATATATATAGAAGCTAATGTAGCCAATAGCTTCTATCTATCGCTGAATGAATGTGAAGAATGCTAATGACAGCAATTAATAGACGAAGCTACGTATTAAGTATTGTATTTACTGCCACTCACGAAGGTACATTTTGAGAAAAAATTCTGCTTTGTAAATTAGAATCAAACTTACTAAAACTAACATTAAAGTTTCCCTAAATAATCGCGAAGTCTACGACACTGCAGAGATCTGAGTACTTGTGTCTTTTACCTTGGGTGCCAGCTCATTCGGTCGTACCTGGTAATGAGATACCTTATCAATTGACCAGAGTTAGATCAGACCAGGCATTACTCGTTTCGCAATCACAATCGAAAACTGGGTTTCGCTCAGCAATGACTGGGAGGCATCGAGGGCTGCAGGTGGGAAAAACTCATGTTGCATTCAATTTCAGATAGTCAATATGGTTTTTTGTTGGACTGCTGACTGCTCGCTTAATATGGCACAAACATCTGACCATTTACTCATCCTGCCTTGAAGGGGATGATGGTTTCTGCTCCGCATATGCAAGAATCAGGTATGCGGCATATTTGGCCGCGAAGTGTTGAGAGACGAACACCTAAGATCTTTGACACCCAACAACCTGCTTAGGTTTATTCGTAAATTGTGCAGATTTAACACAGATTAAGGGCTGGTTGTTCAATGTCTGGTTATCACTACTTGCCGGTTAAACATCATTATCGACGTTTTCGACATAATGCATATATCATGTGATTGATAAAGCAGTCGTTGTATTTAACTGAAGCTTCTACCTCCGATTAGTGCTAATCAGACATTGTACAACCGGCCCTAAAAGGGACATGAAAATGGAATACAAGGAGCGGCATGTAAACTGAGTGCTGTTTTCTGCAGCTAACAGCTGAGAGACGTCGTACAAGGGCGTTTTTGGGCTCGCTGATAATGAATCTGAAGTCAGATTTGGAAAATTCAAAATGGCCGATCCAATATGGCGGATGATTTTTAAAAAACTTATTGCGTTTTTACGAAATTGTAAAAGGGGGGATTTTGGGGGTAGCTTATTTCGAATCTGAGGAAACGGATAATCGACTAAGTCAATTCGAATATGTTTTGAAAAGATTTTGCAAATCGACTAACCGATTATTCGCCTAGACGATTACCAAGGGCTCAAACAAAACTGAGTCATGCAATTACAAAGTCATTGGGAATGTTTTTTTTTTTATAAGAAACGCCATCTTGTGGGACCCGATCGACCCTTAAAAGCGCAGTTTACACCGATGTATTGAATTTACTATTTTAAAATGTAACAATAGATTTTGAGTTTATCGTTGCTCATAATTTGTATTTAGACTTCCTTTAGGTCCCTTAGGTTGAGCACCTATTGGTGGTGCCAGAGAGCGAAGGAACCTCTAATAGACTTTTCAGAATTTGTATTTAAATTTGCTTCAGGTAGAACACCTACTGAAGCTAGTGACAGGACGAACGTTCAACAGACTTTTCATGGATTAAAAACTAAAATACAAATGACTTTATCGGGAGCGAAATTTGCACAGACTGAAGGTTTCAGTTATTGGAATTTTACGTAGGGTTTAAAATTAAAATAGGAATGTAAAAAATCTTATTTTTTTATATATAAATACACAAAAATTGTGCAGATACATTTTACATACATACATATTTATGTCGGCCCACAGTAGGCGCTAAGGGTGGTGCAAGGTATTAAGGTATACAAAGCTTGTGATATACTTATTTTACATATATAGTATACATAAATGCATGTACGTCAGGCTGTGCCGAAAAAAATTTCGCCGTACACCCCTGAGTCTAAAGAAATTTCGTAAGGCAATTCCGAAATAATTTTCGCTTTTTCTTTGGCCGAATGACAGCGTCCCCTTTTTACATTTTTCGTTTTATCTTCGGCATTTGCCGTCGGATCTTAAATCATGATATGTCGATGTTCTGGACTTGAGGGTACATTTTTTTTTTTGCACCGTCTCTCGTAAGACAAATGACAGATGACAAGATAGTTCGGAAGACTTTTTACTCTTGCACAAAAGTCTTAGAATAGACTTCCTCATTCACCACTGGTGGTAAAAAATTATTATGAGAGAAAACACTTGTGTATCATTTAGATCGCGTTGCTCCAATAGTCGCAATAGTTTTTAGGTTTTGTTTTAAAAATAAAAATATTTTTTTAAATGTTATTTAATTGTTTAGTACTATTTTCTTCTTTTTTGATTTATTATTTTTTCTTTGTCTTATTTAAATTTTAGATTTTATTGCTTTCAGAAGATTTTTTTTTTAATTTATCGTATTTTATTTTTATTTTTTTTAAATATAGTTTTCGTTTTTTTATTAGTTTTTATTGTTTAAAAATATTTTTACATATTCTCTAATTTCATAAAATTTTTAGATACTAAGTTTATGTATTTTTTTCTTTTTAGTTATATTTTTTCTTTCTTAATTTAACTTTTTAAAGTGTTATTGTTTTAAAAAGATTTTTTTTTTATTTAATTTTTAGGAACATATTTTATATTTCTTCTTTTTTGAATAAATTTTTTGGTGCATTTTCCTTTTAATTTTTAGATTTTTTGTTTATTTAATTGTTGAGTACTATGTTCTTCTGTTTTGATAAAATTTTTTTCATTCTCTGATTTGATTTTTAGATTTTATTGTATTAAGATTTTTTTATTTTATTTGATTTTTTAAAATATTTTATGTATTTTAGCATTATTTTCATTCTTATATTTATTAGTTTTTCTTGTTTTAAGAACAAAATATAAATATTTTTTCAATTTAATTAAATTAAAAAAAAAAAATTGCTAAAAGCTAAGAGCACAACGCTAAGACCTCCTCGTTAGCACATCTTTCAATTACTCTTTCGAAAGACAGAATTCACAGTTGTCTTACGAAAGACTTTTGTCTTTCAAAAGACTGTGGTGAGTCGAAAGACAGTTGCCAGAATTTGTCTGTAAAGCTCACCATACTTTTGCTATGGGAGTATGGGGTAATTTATTTACTCCAGTAGAACTATTATAACAAGTAAGAAAGTCTAAGTTCGGGCGGAGCCGAACATTAAATACCCGGCGCAAGTATTAAATATATGTTTTCCACCTTTCCGAAAGCTGCCGCTACATGATAAGCCGGAGTGTATAAATTTTAAGTAAATTAGCGTCCTTAAATTTCGAAATATTGAAATTTCAAGCATTTCTGAAATTTACCGGTTATATGAAAAACGTAATTTTAGTCCGATTTCAACAATTTTCAACGGTTTGCTTTTGTGTGGCAAGCACGATAACCGTACCGAGTTTGGTACAAATTGGTAGAACGGTTACCGAGACACATATATGTGATCATAAGTGGGCGGTGCCACGCCCATTTTCCAAAATTTTATCACAAACATATTTCTTTGTTAAGAATTGTTGCACCCATCAATTTTGAAAAAATTAGCTTTAATATTTACTGATTTATCGAGGATTTCGTATTTTTCTAAATTACCGTTATATGGGATGTGGGCGTGGTTATTGTCCTATTTTAAAAATTTTCGGCCATTTGGTATGCTGTACCAGGACCANGCAGAATGCACATAGGTGTCACCGAAAAATGTAAAACAGGGGACCCTTAGATTCGGTAAAAAAATCGTAATTACATACCTTGCAAAAAATATTTTAGACTCAGGGTTATATGCGAGCTTGTTTTTTTTGATTGCTTCTAAAGTGGTACGGTCTAATGTACATATGTATATGTAAGTTTGTAGAAGCATTAGCCTGTATACAGCGTGCATGTACTACTATCTACTAAGCATGTAGTTATGTACCAACATGTTAAATCACTTTTATGTAGAGAGTTACAGGAATGTGCAACTTGTGTGTCATAAGCGGTTAGGGAAATATTTATAAGTGGGACTTAGCCGCAGCCAGCGGAAAGGAGGGGTTTTTTGCTCAGCGCTCAACAGAAGTTAGAGTAACTAAGTAATTAATATATATAGGTCGGGCTCTTGATGGGATCGAAATGAAATAAAGAGAAAATATCATACAAACCACGGTATATTTGTACATTTGTAGATACTAGGGTGGTACTTAGTATTTGCCTCTAACTACGTTTTAGCATTCAACTTCTATTTGTTGTGCAACACAAATGAGGTGACGTTATTTATATGATTAATGTGTACTACATACATGTAAATATGTATACTGTATGTGAATGCACTTGAATGAACAGTGAATTAACATAAAACAATGTGTGCAATTACTTAAAAGAATTAGAAAATTTCGAGTTCGAAACTGTTTTTTAGGAGAGGGGAGGATATACAGCATTGAGTGTACACAACGAGATATAATTTTGTTTTGTTTAGAAATTTTTTGCAAAAAAGGTATAAAAAGGTAGGAATGATAAACCAATTACTCATATGCATATATAGATTAACTTGTACATACATATGTTTAGAGAAATAGGCAAATAGAGAGAGAGAGAGAGAAGAGAGAAACAGGTAGATAGATAGAAATACAACGCTTGAAGTGAGTAGCAGTGGAGTTTTCGGTTATTGCATAGTAGGTAATTAATTTAAAGGGGTTATTAAAGGATTCTATTAAACAATTTTCTTTTGTCTCTTTGTAAGTGCTTGCAATTTTTTTTTTGTTCTTTTGTGGGAGTTTTTTTTTCTTTTGCTCAATATTAAACTCAATTTAGCCTATCTTACGTCGGGGAGGCGGTCGTAATAGATCGTCAAGTGAAAATGTACGCGCTGCTGCCCCTCCCCCTCCAGGTATTGGATTGGGGCTGCTGAGGCTCAAAAGTGACGGTTTTCTGATACCCAATCTGTTGAATATGGAGCGCTGTGTGCCCGGTGCGATATTGCCGGTTGACTGTGGAATGGCAGTTGTAAATTGCAATTGCTCGCGTAATGATGTGTGATGATGATGCCCATGTATGGAACCAGGTGCTATAAAATATTGAACAATAAGAAGAAGAAGAAGAAAAATAAAACGTATGCACATACAATTAGAAGAAAAAGACAAAGAAAAAGAGAGACAGAGAGAGGAGAGAGATAGAAAGGTAGAAAAATTGTTTTTGCAAGAAGTTGTAAAATGAGCGCAAACACGAGAACCCTAAAAGTGGATTCGATTCGGAGAATTGTTTTAGTTTAGTAATAATCGTAAATACTTAAAAATATTTTATGTAGCAAACAATTATAAGTGTGTCGAATATTTCAAAAATATTAAAGCCATAGCAGAATACTTAAGACTGGCATACATTCAATACGAATCTTATGTTTATCATATTCTAAATAATAATATATAATATTTGATATATGTATTTATATACGTAAACAATAATTTTAAACTTTGTACCCATAGCTTACGAAATGTATACCCAAGGACTTTCGGCTGAGGCAAATTTAGCTGTAGCAGGCAAACAACTAGCAACCCGTCAGGAAATATATATTTGATGACACTATTGCGCCAGAGAGAGAGAGAGAGCAGCAGCGGCAAAGTCACCTTCATGCGGTGGTGATTTAAAACGAAAATAGATCGTGCCACCTGACACGGTCTCCGATTTTACGTCGGTGGGAAACTGCGCTCTATCTTTTATCTCCTTCATGGTTCGCTGAACATGTTCGCAAAGTAATTAAGAAAAAACGTAAGAAGACGAACATGGAATTTCTCTCCATAAAAAGCAAACAGGACAAATTAGTCCCCTTTCAGACACGTCAAGTCTTGAAAGCAATTTTTTTCGCATTCTCTTTTGTGTTTTCTATTTGCTTCCACACGCGTCAACTTTAATTGAATTCAAGTCCTTGGTTCTTTAAATGGGAAGCAACGAAAAGATCAAAAGAGACAAGAAAACTTGAAACGAATTGACGGTACGGAGGTATCTGTACTCTTCCCTTCTCTTCATACCTCCTTCGCCTACGAACGAGCAGACTTGAAAGCAAGACTTGACGTGTCTCAAAGGGGACTTACTATAACAATTTATTCAAGGAGAAAATATAAACTTCTCTATGGAAGTCAAATATCTAGGCGTTATACTTGATGACAAGCTCTCATGGGATCTACAGCTAGGATCTCCATATGACCTGCCAGAACCTAATGGGCAGAAACTTCGATATCAGGTATATATTATCAAGATAGGTTTTGCCTCCATCTGGTGGATGAAGACATAAATGATGTGCATGCAGACCAAGCTCAACAAACGCCAACGACTAGTCCGCGTGGGAATAACTGGCCCTATTGAGAGCAACACCAACTACCGATCTCGGGGCGCTTCTACACCGCCCACTTTTGTACATTGTAATAATGAATGTTTACATCAATTCTTATCTCATGTGACAATGTGAGAATAAGAAGCTTATATACCCATAAGTTCTTAAGGTTATAGAATAATAGAAAGCACTGAGTATAAGCTGTATAGAACAGTGACTTTTCGTAGTTTAAATTCACACGTAACTTTAAGGTGGTTCTCCCTATTAAATAGAACCAACTTAGTAAATGAATGACCTAAACCGTGAAAGGATTACCACATCTGGTATACTGATTGCTCCAAGATTGGCAATATCGCCGACACAAGGGTCTATGGTATACCACCTTGAAAACAACTGAGCACACAATGAGCCACTGTAAAGCCCTTCCTAGACCTAGACTGGCTTCCTAGAATTCGCGTATCTATAACTAAATCGCCTAAACAGCACTCGCGTGGCTCACAGATGGCCTCTAACGAAATAGAAAGCTTTAGCTATAGATTGGCCTTGGTCGAGGTCGTGGTAACTGATGACCTGCTCCATCCGCGAAAGGATGCTCACAGAGATCGACAGTACGTCTATTGAAAATTAGTTCTTTGGATTTTACATACAGACTACATACTTTTTTGTAGTACTATTGACACGTTGTAAAAGCCGAGTAGATGGGAGGGCAAGCAAATTAAAAAATATATTTTACCAGAAAAAAATGTGACCAATAAGTACGGGCTCCAAACGGCACCTTTGTAACTAAGATGCAACGCCAGTTCATCAGCCGCACAGTTTCCAACAAGCTTCGAACATTTCATAAGTGAACCCAAGGTCTTTAACCTTCCTTACCGCTAACGCGCACAACAACAGCCAATCGATTGCTTCCTTAATGGCAGTAATCTCCGCTTAAAAACCATTATCTAGAAGCATCCGCCGACATTTCCGTAAAGCTTCATCCAATCCGTGTAAAAGGTCCCCAGTGCCTCCTTCCAACATCTGCCCCCTGTTCACTCATCCCTTTGTGAGATGTGTGTGGATAACGTACTAGCTGATTATAAGCTAGAAACGCAGGTATGAAATCAATTGAAGACCCCGAAAATAATAGAGTGTCCATATCTCGAGTCGATCAGACAACCAGTTACCCTATGTCTGCCTCCCGCTCTTCCTGCAGCTGCTTTACCTGCGCTGTCGCCAGGTGCTATGTTAAGCATGATGTTAAGGGCTAGTGTGGGATTGGTCGGTAAGCGCACCACTGATTGCAATGAGGTCAGGTCGTTGCACTCGCTCGCTTGATTCGTAGCGTCAGGAAATAACTTTGTGAGAAGGCGTCCATCTCTTACCTATGGCGCCTTTGCAGCTAAACAACAGAGCCATTGAAGCTTTTCTTACCTTCTCCTTAATTGTAGACTTCCACAACAGTTTTCGATAAAGAATAAAGCCATAGTACTGGTCAGAAAGTAGCAGGCGTATGAAACCGAACGAGGCAGGAGTGGCGTGGGGCACCTCATACTTCTTAGTAAACAAAACGAGTTCTGTTTTTATTAAGATTAACAGCAAGTTTGCAGACCATGCTGTCACCAATTCAAGTATCCTTGAGTTAACTCGTGGAGGGTACGAAAACATTTGCGCCACACTAAAAGTGCCACATCATCGGCATATAGGCGATCACCCGGCACCCCCTACTCGCCAGCTTCTCTAGTAGGTCGTTTACTGGTAATTTATTGCACCCAGAGAATTGACGAGATAATATTACTTTGTGGCGTGCCCCTGTTAACCCTGCGCTGTACGGTAGCACCACTTCATTCCGTCGCGACAACTTTGTTGCCGATTATGCGATTTATGAGCACAGCTTTGTTCCCAAGTTTACTGAGGGATCTGACTATTGCTCCTATAGTTTATTGCTAAAAGCGTCCTTTACACCGATAAACACCCCCACACTGAAGTCTTTCGGTATGTAGGCTTCTTCAATTGACCTGAAATTTGTGTGCAAGGCGGTCTCGTCCGACCTACCCTTGATGTATGCTTGATATGCAGATTAATCAAATTCTCAAGAGTTTAAGCAACAAACGAAGAGCGGCTAATCGGTTTAAAATGCATGGGAGTGATGTGAGAACTTTTTCCCGTTTTCGCTATAAACGTCATCCTGACCACTCTCCAAGCCCTGCTAACAATTAGCTAATACATTTTGAAAATAACTGTGTGCTAAAAATATACTAATTAATGGTGTTTTAATAATACGATTTAGCCAAATCTTAGTTCCATTTGAAACTACATAAATAGATAAGTGGAAATTTACTAATGGATACTTATCTGTACATACCAACAAATATGACATAAATTTGTATAACTACTTAATTCAACTTTATATACATACATACATAGGGGGCATATTCATAGTAGGCTCTAAAGTTAATTGCAGCTTTTTTGACAGATATTCCATTCAAAATTTCGTCAAAAAGCTGTAAATAACTTAAGTATCGACTTTATATTGACTATGAATATACCCATAGGTTTTAGCCTACGTTTATTATTGCCTACCTACACACTTACTTACATAGCTCTATATAAATACGTACATAATCTAGCGTTTATTCTTAAAAAAAAAATAAAAACTTACGTCGATTTCGATCTGCTTCCTCGGCCAGTAGTTTTTCGATCTTCTCTGGGAAGTGCCGCTTAGCACACCACACCAAGCCGATGACAGCCAANGAACTTAAGTATCGACTTTATATCGACTATGAATATACCCATAGGTTTTAGCCTACGTTTATTATTGCCTACCTACACACTTACTTACATAGCTTTATATAAATACGTACATAATCTAGCGTTTATTCTTAAAAAAAAAATAAAAACTTACGTCGATTTCGATCTGCTTCCTCGGCCAGTAGTTTTTCGATTTTCTCTGGGAAGTGCCGCTTAGCACACCACACCAAGCCGATGACAGCCAATACAACAAACACTGTGATTAAACCCAGCCAAAATGGTTCTTGTAGCATGCGTTCCGATAGCGGCTTATAAGGTATATGCAGCATACGGCGCTCACACCTTGCACCCTCCCACCAAGCATGACAACTGCAGCGGTCAAAGCAATAAGAATTATAATTATTTATTTAATGTCTACTGAAATGTACCAAATATTTTTTTGAGAATTTAGTCTTTCCATTTGGTCTAAATGTCGTATATATATATATAGTTTTTTTGTTGTTTTTCGACCATAACCCCTGTCGAGTTGAAGTTCAACTTTTGTTCAGGAGCTTATACTAAGCCAGCCATACCAAATCTTAAGTCTTTCACATCCATGTCACCGAATATCGCTGTCCTTTTGTACTTTCGGGGTAGTGTTATCAGGGCTGCACAGAGGTATGTACTTTATTTAGTTATTAAACCTTGCAGGAAGCAGGGGAACACTGCTCGGAGTGGCCGGCTCTTTCCCTCAGCAAAAAAATTCTAATTCAACGCTTTTAAAATAGGAGATCGGCGCTTCTCAAAAAAAGCCGAAAGGTGTCATTACTACTGTCTCAACAACGAACTCTCCTTTGGCAACCAAAATCCTACAAAGAAACCTTAAACCAGGTGCAACTACACCAACCAGCAGTAATACCAAGGGAACTCCTGGAACGAGGAGTTCAAAAGCCACTTCCACTAAAAAAAAGTAGCAGGCTAATAGCAGGCCCTTAACTCAAGCGCCGATCATCCTGTGTCCACTAGAAGTAAGGTAGCTAATATGCGATAGTACAGCCTTCTAGCGCAGTCATCCACCGAGATAAACGTACGGCGTACAGATCCTGGCTGGCTACAGCACAACGTAGATCTAGCTGATTTTGACTATAGGTAACCCTTGGTCGAGTGGTTAGAGCTGTCAGCTCCTACTCGGTAGGTCCATGGTTCTATCCTTGTTCCGAGCTACATTAAAAAAAGTGTTTTACCAATATCGGGGGTCCCTCGGAAGGCAATGGCAAACCTACCAGTGTATAACTGCTATGAAAATAGTTTCGCATTAAAACCATTTGCGAAGGCCGCGCAACGCTTTGGGTCCCTCCCGGTTGTGGGACAACATCAAGGCTCACATTAAAAATCGGAAGAAAAGCTCGGCCAAGCACTAGAAAATGTGTAAGTTCCAAATATTTAATTTATTTATTAATCCATGAAGCTGTACTGGGATGCGCGCTATGATCGATAAACTACTCGAAGTGTACCCATGAGCTCGTTTGAAAATTGTTGAAGCTAAGATATCCCAACGCGATGCAGGTTGAAAGCCTGGAACCAATAAAGAGCAGTTTATTGCCCAAACAACAGCATTTGGTCTGTCTTGCGAAAGTCATTACTTTACGTAGGCCCGCTTTCTACCAATTTGGAATACACAAACAAGTACCTGGTGGAGGTGGATACTTCGCCCAAGGCCGTCCAAAGGCATTTTTATGAACTGAAGGACAAGATCCAGAAGTATATTCGACAACCACCGAACGCAAAGCTGGACAGACTTCCACAAACTCCCGCTCGAAGAATGCCTTCACGGATTTTACCCACCTTCCTTGCAGAGGAACAGTTTCAATTGCCTCGAAACATCCCCATTACTCTGCCGAAATGACGGTTTGAATACTGTGCAGATTGAACTCTTCCTCAATGTAAGTTTCACATGCGAAGGCTCCCGCGTGACTCTAACTACTTCTTTATATGCCTGTCTCAAATCTACTCAATAAATATCTCTCTTACTTTAATCCGACAGCACAATCTAGCTGCCTTTACCAATAGTAAGTACGTCGAGTCGTTAAGGGGTGTCATGGCTGACAGATAAAATAGTCGAAGTTTACCCAGGAGCTCGTCTGAAAATTGTTGAAGCTATGGACGATATCAAGATAAGCTTCAAGGTCGGCAAGAGTTATCGTCATTCTGCGGCAATGCAACTTTAAATACGTGTATGATATTTAGAGCAATATAGAGAGTATGAATACCGAATGTCACATGACGTCCGAATGCACATTATACAGTGTCTACATGAATGTTATTATTTTTGGATTAATTTTGGATTAAACACACTACCCAAAAACGAACCGTACGTCGACTTTTGTTGATTACCACCCCGAATGCGTTTATAAAAAGCACTTACCGACAAAAGTAGCCACCATTTCGTTCAAAACAAACGCCACGTCCTTCGCAGGGATTCTCAGCACAAGGCCTTTGTTTTTGCTCGCAGGTTTGACCCATGTAACCCGGCTGACATTGACACTATACAGAAGAAGTAAGATCGTAAGAAACATTTGCAGATAACAGTCAAAAGCATACTGGCATGAACGAACCCACCTTGAAGCTATTTGTAGTCAACTCACATCTGCCAAACACGCAGGGTTCGAGCTCGCAAATATTCAAACCGCAAAATCTGTAAAATTTTTAGATTCTTTTTATAATCGAATGATCAAAAGTAAAACTTATTTTGCCCCTTCTTACCTGCCCGTGTAGTGCCCCTGGCATTGACAATAGTTCGACCCATTGTTGGGCACGCATTTGCCATTAAACTGGCAGGGATTTGGTTGGCAGGATTCGACTGTAATATCGCCGGCAGTCAATTTCATTTTATAGGTATTATCTGTTGGAAACAATTAACAATAAACTACGAAGTATGAACACCAAACTTTTGTTTAAGCTCACCCCATTGTATTGACACAGTTGCATTTAGTAGCGCATTCGAGTGCAGACCTGTGCGCTGGCGTATGTGCAGCGTGTTCAGGTAGGATGTTATATACACAGGTGGCGCTGTGGCATCTACTACACGCATTTGAAGTCTACTACTCGCCTTCGTTGTTGGTATCATTAAACGGTTGGGACGGTCACGGTTATAAAATGTCTCCTGCATATGACCACCATATTTTGAGGTCTGTTGACTGTCTGGTGAACCGATGTGCGGTAGAGTAGTAGGCTGCTGAAACTTGCATAAATGCCAGTTTGTGCCATTGTTGTCGGCATAGTTGTCATAGACCTTAAAGGTAAAATAATTTCATTGATATCCCACTACATATAATCGCTGTGTGCCCATACTTACCTCTAGCAAGCTACCATCGGGACAACCGCCATTCTCGCTAAACTCAACGCCATGTAGCTCTAGCAAAATATTCTGTCCAAACGGCGCCACCAAATGGTGTGTAAAGTCTACATTTTCTGGCATTGCATGCGGGTAGTTGAGTTGATAGAGTTGTCCGCTGCTGTTGTAGTTCAAGCTGATTATACGCTCACGTCGCTCCAAGGGTGCCACTGAACCAAATTTTGCACTCAGGCAGTTATTTAAAATTAGTTTTGTACTCAATTTCCTTACCTGTGCGGTAGACAGCTTGGAACCCTTTGCCGCGCGGATGTGGTCCAGTGCGAAACTGTATGCGCAGCTGTTCACGCTCGCTTACGAATATACCCTCGCTCAATAGTTCTTTTGTGCGAAACGGTCGCAGCAGTCCGCTACCAATGTCCACTTCCAAACTTGCGTCTACTTTCAAATCGAACTCATTGAACTCGAGCCAGACGCGTTTACCGGCTGGCGCTTGTATCACGTAAGCACAATTCAAATTGTTGAGTAAAAAATGTGGATAGTTCGGACTGAGGACGGTGCCCTCGCGTGAGGTTAGCGTTTGTAGCGGGCAACCAGATATATCGATGGCCTTCCATGTGGCCGCATACCCCATACCATTCACAGAGTAGTCGCTATGAAAATTCAGCATAGCCTCATTTGAGCTGGAAACAAAATCAAATTTGGACATATTTGAGGTGTGCGTGCCACACCAGCGTACATATGGCAGGAATGATTGTGCATTATCCACAGGTAGTGGTACCATTAGTGAATCTCCATCATCTAAAATACTATTGCGCTTGCGACGCGGTCTTTTCGCTTTTCGGCGACGATGTTTAGGATTTTGATATTTCGTTATGACGCTAATGGCGCCGCCGTGTGCCGTGTGAATCCACCTATTGGTCTTGTGTGGCGGTTTCGAAAGCACCTCTCGCCTAAATCTTTGCCTCGCCCTGTGCGTTCTTCTGCTTTTTTCATATTTGTGTACTAAAGTTTTCCTAGTATGACTTTGTTTTGTATATTCCTTTTTGGCAGTGTTGGGTCTTTCGTGGTTGCCTTGCTTTGGAGGTGTATGCAGACCTCTTCTTATGCTACGTTTCGGTCGTTTACTGTAATCTGATTCGAATTCACCAATGTCTACTTCATTGTCGGTCGATGTCAGTTCTTCTTCTGAAGTTAACATAGCCATGGGCAAGGGATTGCTCCCGGGCTCTAGGGTTATGTGAGAGGCTAATTCGTAATCTTCTATGCTCACAAAATCGTAAAGACACTCATCCTGTGGCTCTAAATCTATCTTTTGGAACTGAAGTATAATGCGGGTACGCTCTGGTGTTTTGATGTGTACCCAATAGTCCATGTTGAGGGGATAAGTGTCGGGGTAGGCTTTTATTAAATGATTTATGATATAAAAAAGAAATTAAATAAACTCGGAATTAAATTTAAATTTAGAAGATATTATGTCGTTGAATTTGGTGTCCAATAAGGATACAATAAAGTAGGTAGCTTACCTGGTGACACCAGCCTGCCCTCTGTACCTGTTACAGTTAGGTTGTTGGCGGAAAATGTACCATATGAGTCCTTCGGTTTTTTACATACATATCCACCGCCTTTACTGCACTTTTGTGATTGCCAATACAGACCTGACGGGAGCATTGGCGTTGGCGACATCTTCCATTGCAGCCCCAAACAAATAGCATCTTTGGGCAGTTCCTCAAATTGTCCTTGACCAGGCAACCAACCCTTTAAAAGAAATATTTTCATGTTTTAAGTTTTTCCTAAGTCTACCTTAGTGATCAAACTCGCACCATCACAGAAAGTAAACCTAGCCTGATATCTCGATTAGATTAGGCAGAGTGTGGGCTCAAGCCAAAAGGCTCGTCAGTTGACTCGCAAGTGATTGATGTGGTAGGTTTATATTGGTGCTCACAGAATTTTTTGAAGAAAATAAAATGTGTAATTTTAAATGAGAAGACAAATCTGATAGCGTTCGGGATGATGAAGTTTTAACAGTCATTTCTAAAATTTCAAGACGAAGATAAGCTCGATGTGCTAGTCTACCATACAGAGTAATGTCAGAGTCGGCGAATAGGCAAGAGCCCGAGTCTGTTGTGCGAATGTCTGAATGCACGTACGTAAACAATTCCATTGAAAATTAAAAAAAAGCCTCATATTTATGAGACTCTCCGCTTTTGATTAGGACTACTACAGAATATTAAAAGGACAATGTTTCGGGGGAATATAATGTATGGAGCCTTAATCGGACACTTGCCTCTATTCAGCTAGTGGATGTCATCGGTGATACTAAGGTTGACTCATTATTCAGGAAATGCGATATGTAGGGCATGGTAGGGAAAATATAGAACCTTGCGACGTCAACTTTCATCTAGGAAGGCTATGTATAAACATAACAGACAGTCCGAATTCTCGCTAATCGTCCCTCACACAAGCTCTCTGGGAGCATTCATTAATCAAGCGTACGAGCAGGGGAACTAAATTATCCGCACGTTGCGTATCACTGCTGAAAAAATAGACGACTGGCGCAGGCCACGTCACTGTGGACCTCCCTGCGATCGGACGCGACGTGAGCCATTTGGGATTGTAAAGGAAGCTGAACAGGGAAAAGAGCACCAAAATCTTTTCAGAAAAGGTAAAAAAGGTCTTTCGAATTATCGAAAGAATACAACTTAATGCCTCCCGAAAGTCAAGTAGCTTTTAGACCACTGAAATGTTGCGAAACCTCGCCGAAAATTGCAGTGGAATGGTGGAAAGTTCTTAACTAGCCAGCCACAAAGCATAAAAAGTTGCTGCTTGGCAAATAAATGATAATCGAAATAACTCGACACATCTGCGACTAGAGATGGTCTGACGCACTAATTCGTCCAGGACGCAATCTACTTAGACAATTGGCCGGAATTATAGAAGGTCACCGCTTAATGGGAAGGCATACTACTGGCACAAGGGCTTGAGGTGTTACGTTTTTAGCATTTATTACCTGGAAACTCATCCTTGTGTCATCGGTCCATTCAAACTGACCGCTTTTTTCCAGCTCCGCACCAAGCCAATAGATTAGCTGCGGCGAATAATCAATTTGATTTCGAATGTTCGATGTAATGAATCTGTGAAGAAATTACCAGACAAGAAATAACGATACTCTGGGAATTGCATACTAAATATTGTATTTTCTCAACTTACCTGTGTTCATCGGAGGACGATACCGATGAAAGTCGTGCACCCATACCGCGACATACTTGCTGCGCGGTCCACCAATCAACCTCGGGATAGGAAATGAACAGATAGCAGGAACCATTATAATATTTTAAACGTTCGTTGGCGCATTCAGAAGCAGCTGGAAGTATAAGTGGAAAAAAACAAAAACAACGGGTAAGACCATTATAACGGAAGAGCGATAAAGAGTTTAAGTTATTTTTCAAACTGCGCAATCAAAAAAAAAAAAGAAATATACATCAGCGGCGGATTAAGGAGAGCTCAATTTGAGTATACGCGCACATAGAGTTTGGCTAAACGTGCAATACACTTTTTTTTTTGTTAAACCTGCACAAAATTTAGCGCCAATAAAAAGTTATTAAGAGGTGCGTGGATCGATAACACTTCGCTACAGACATAGTAATTATTTAGGGAATCGAGNGAAGAAATATACATCAGCGGCGGATTAAGGAGAGCTCAATTTGAGTATACGCGCACATAGAGTTTGGCTAAACGTGCAAAACACTTTTTTTTGTTAAACCTGCACAAACTTTAGCGCCAATAAAAAGTCATTAAGAGGTGCTTGGATCGATAACACTTCGCTACAGACATAGTAATTATTTAGGGAATCGAGTCAAAGATCTATAGTGTAAAGAGTGTAGGGATACACTTACTAAGTAGAATGTTGTATTACACACATAAATATGTACATTTATAGGTAAATTTTTAAGTCTTTCAAATATGTGTATCCTAATACAACTTTCATCTAATCTATATACATATTGTACAACATTGAGTGAAAAATAAAAAGTAATAAAGAAATAATGCAATAGAAATTAAAGACTTGGTGCAAGTTTAAAATATTTTGTCCGGTAAGCTGCTGTCGTAGGGAGAAATACCTTACGTAAAAAGAGAGAACAAATTGCGAATAGTTGGGCCAAAATTCTGAACCACAGAAGATTTTGGAATCTATCCGTGGAGCGACACTAGAATCAACAAATACAGAATTCCCAATTGCACTGATAAGAAATATTCCACATGAATATGGCATTAAAAATGAGTAGTAAGGTAATTTGGATTCAAGTCTCAAGGCAGTTCAAAACTTGATATTAAAGTTGGATGAGGGATTTACTATTTTGAACTGCTCGGCCAAAGCTGAGATAAAATTGAACTGACGTTGCTTCCTCGACTCTTGCTTTAACCTGCCTTTAAGTAGCCTTTGGATTACTGGCCTGCTCCAAAGCAATGCTGCGATAGAGTGCAGGCTAGTTCCAAAATTGGCTAGTCAGTGCCGAGTCATAGATACATACAAGGTAATTGCTAAGCAGATGAACTATTTAGCGGGGAAAGCAACCACCTTGTCGGACATCCACAACTTTCTTGCATGATCAATCGGAAAGTTTGGAAAAAGTTCGATGGAACAATAACCGACTTACTTAGTCATTTGGACAGCACGAGCTTTACTGGGACATGTGACCGGAATTAAAATTGACCATTTCTGGCAGAGGAAGAAGCAATCAATATATACGAAGATATCTGGAGATCTTATAGCTGGTGTGGCGACAATGAACTGCAAAGATCAATATGCCATGCCAGGCTTTAATGGTTGCGGATCTATTACGGCATATGTGTATATACTTTTATGAGTCAACCGGGGTTTATTTCGATAGCTATGAGTGCCCAGTTTCCGATCCACATTAAAAAAGGCAAAAAGAAGGTCGCCCGCTGCAGGAAACATATTGTGTAAGCCACAATATAACGACGCCTCCAAACCATACCGTGCTAAGTCTGACCAAGTCAAAGGTGACCAAGTCTAAGCATGGTATGGTTTGGAGGCGTCGATATAATATTTATAATTATGCCGGATTTCAACTAGGCTTTAATTTTTTAAAGAAATGTTAATGTCAAACTTGGGTATTAAAAAAGATTATTGTTATTACTTTGAAAAAATAGTAATTAAAATCATTTCCACGTGGCATTTTCTAAATGCCTCCAATTTTTTTTTCATTTAAATGGCTATTCGAAATTCGGCATTATGAATGAACTTCTCGTAAAATGGATGGGAACACTTGGGCCGGCGTGTATGGACCTAGCGTCCCGATGGGCTCATACCCAACCATATTCCATGCGGAAGTTTTCGCAATTGAAGTCTTTGTCCACAAATGTCTTTGCCCAAGGACTAATGGGGGCAACAATAAACAGCATATGAAATAAATAAATAAATCAGGCCGGATAGCCAGGCAGCTTTAAGAACACTTGAATCTTTGAAAACGGTGTCATGGGTAGTGGACAGCTGCAAAAAGGTACTGGTAGAACTAGAAGTTAACAACAGAGTAACGCTATGGTGGATTCCAGGTCATGAGGGTTTCGTTGGCAACGGAAGAGCTGACACTTTAGCGAAATGCGGTGCCCCACGCAGCCTGGTCGGCCCTCAGTCTTTCTTTGGTCCATCCAGAGGATTCACAGCAGGGATCCTACGGGGATGGGAAGAATTGCAAGTTACAGCCCAATGGCGCCCGAAAAAGGACAAAAGGCAGTCCATAAGATCCATAGCTCTGAGCAGCTGCTAAATCTTAGCAGAGAGGGTTTAAGGACTCTAACCAGATACCTGGCGGAAGACTGCAGACCGAGGTACAATCTACATAAGATGGGACGCTGTGAGGAAAGGAACTGCAGGTTTTATAGGCTAGGGAAGGAAACCCCGGAACATTTATCATGTGATTGTCCGCGTATAACTCGACTTAGACTTATATGCACACCTTGGATAATAACGATCATCTCTATCCAGAACCTTGAACATGCTTAATTTCATTAATAGCCTAAGATTGGTCGCAGTTTTATATGCCCTAATACTAATAACAATAATAATAACGGCCGATAAATGTTTATAGCCATGGATCACAATTTGAAAAACTTTCTCTCGTTGAGTGAACAAATGTTGTGTTCATATGTATGTATACGCCTGAAAGCTATACAGGTGCAATCGTCCGTAAGTCCTCATCAAAGTCAAACTATCCAAAGGAAAAGCTGTTGCCTTTGCTTGTCCTATTAATCTTAGTGGTACTATTCAAGAGAAATATACTAGAGTCAAGCTTGTCAAATGACGCGGTTGTGCATTCGTCAAGGCAAGGTTAGGCTGCAGTGGCTGCCCTCATTCAGGTTCAATATTATTAAAAGCGTTAACGTGGTGGCCCGTTATGGTACCGTTCGGGCTCGTAATTGACGCTTAAGGGTGCGTACACACAGGCGGCTTTCAAATTAATTTAGCTACATACGAGGGTAGGCTAAAAAGTTTTGAGCCTAAGGTATTCAAATATATAACCTCCCTTTACCTCAAGGCACTGCTTATATTCATCATAAACGACTTTTAACCCACTGAAAAAAATATTCGCCGTATTTGTCTTCGTAAATCTCGTCTACAGACGTCCACCAAACTGCAACTCAATTCCGTAGGACATGATTTGATGAGTACAAAGTAGATAAGAGGGACCCGTAGGTCTAACTAGACTAAATATTTTTCTTAAGTATAAAAACTATACAGATTTGAACAAATAAAGCTTATACGAAAAAACATTCATGCAAATAAATCGGTATTCGCAAATAAAAGTAGTCAATATCACAATAGCGAAAATCTAAAAAGGAAGAAGAAGTGGCGTAAAGATTGAGGAAGGTAGTGTTGTTATGTGTACGTACATATGTAGATACTATGCACTTATATTTAACTAAACAAAATTCATAATGGCTGCCATGCAAGGTTTTTACTCGTGTACACAAACGTTTTTCTTTTGCAAACTAAACATAGCTTCAAAACAAAATTTGTTTTAAATCATAAAACATTAACAAAATTTAACGCCGGCCAACATTACGTGTTTGTATGCAGTTGGTAGCATTTTTACCATGCAGGCAAATCGATTTGCGGGCGATGAATTTCCATGTAGGACTTGTATGCAACAACAACTAACACATACATACATACATACACGCTGTGGCACTGAAGAGACTTACCACGGAACGTATAACTTCCTGGTAGGATGTTCAGTATTTGAGTTTCGGAGTTTTAGTTGCAATACGAGGCAAAAGTAAAAGTATTTTACAATAGTAATACACATGTACGGGTGGAAGAGAAAGGTGTGAGGCGATTGTGTATGTAACTATTTAGTAAGTATGTATGAATGAAGTAAGTGAATGAAGTAAGGAAAAGAGGTGGCAAAAGTGGTGTAATACAAAGCGTTGCGGTATAAATGTTCTTTTGTTTTTAGGGCATGTAGAAGCATGATTGTAATTGTATATATGTAGGTATGTACATATATACAAACATACATATATGTACTTACAGATAGGGGCCGAGAACGAATGGTATGATTGAAACTAAAGGTCGTTCTCGTAGTTTGGTTCCCAAGAACGCCTCAAAACCCAAACCAAAATGAGGATGAAACTATCGAGAACGTTCTCAATGGGAATTATATAAGAACAAAACCCTGTGGAACGTTTCCCAAGAGAACAAAATGTAAACAACACTTTCTGGAACATTATTAAGAAAACAAAATTGGAACTAATGTCTCAGGAACTTTCTGACAGAGAACGAAACGGGAACAAATCTGCTCTGTACTATTCACGAAGAATGGAAGTGAGAACAATAAATTGTTCCCATAGCGTTCACTAGTTTGAAATGCCTGAATATTAAAATTAAACAAAAAAGAACTGAAAGAAATTTATGGAAATTAAGTCAACGAAAGACTTAAGACATGCAATTTTTTGGCACAGAAAATAAAAAATTGTTTCATAAATGGACAGTTCACCCTAATGATAAACGATCTGGAAGTTTTAAGGATCTAGACTTCCTCTGACATAGTATTAACAATCGTGGTTCTCATTGAAATGATTTTCATCCCAACACGCAGACGGGGAGTCTCATTCTTAACGATAAGTTCTCAAAACTTTTGTCCTCTTTTTGTTCTCTGGCGGAACGTTCCCCGGACTTTTGTTCTTATTTGATTATTTTGAAAACTTTATCGATGCTTTCGTTCTCATTTTGTTCTCATTAGGAAAGTTCCCGAAAGTTTCGTTCTTATTTTGTCCTTCTTGAGAACCTTCGCGTAAGTTTTGTTCTCATTTTGTTCTTTCCGGAAACGTTACCAAAGCTTTTGTTCTCATTTTGTTCCCGTTCAAACTACTCTCAATACGTTTGTTCCCGTTTGGTTCTTGTGTGGGAACGTTCTTGATATTAAATTATGTTCTCATGCAGAACTAAACCAAAACTGGAGCGCGTTCTCGGCCCCTGCTTATAGTTACTACCTAGTACTAGAAAAAAAACAAACAAAAACATTTTTTTTTAGTTTGAATAATGCAGATATACGTAAAATTATGAGTATGTAAGTACATTCTTAAAAATATTTTTATGATATGTAGAAACGCATTCACTGGCAAACATACATACACCCAATTGCAGTTAAGGCAGAAATAGATAAGTACATATTTTTTCTTTGCTGAGGAAATTCAAGTTTTAACTCCTTATGTACACAAATATAGACCATTTTTTAATTTTAAATGAAAAAAGCTTAAAACTGAACTGGAGGTCTGGATTTTTTATGTGCGGTTCTGTGAAGTCAAAGTTCTTCGTCGATAAGCCAGTTATGATTCAAAATTTGGAAGCCAACATTACCCGTCTAATTCGCAAGATATCCCTAGCGATGAATTTAAAATTGGATCTTCCGAATGGTCTACCTGCATAGTACTCGCGGCCAATATTTGAATGAAATTAATTTTTAAAAGGGAAATATCAGAGATTGTTCTTGCGGTTAAAGATTCTGACATCCAGTTCTGTTAAAGTTTTTTTTTCTTTAATGTTAATTTAAAGAAGTCTAGATGGATCCCCCTTTATATTTACACTGGGAAAGAAAAACCATATTCTCTTTGTTTCAAGCTATAAAGCACATATGATTGGCCCCAAACGAACTTTTGTTTACTTTAAAAACATTTATTTTTGCATATTTTTTCGTTTGAATAAGATTTTCTTCTGCACTTCACAGACGCTTTTTCGAAGCCCGACCCTACTGAGAGTTAACAAATAGTAGCAAGCATCTCCGCACACTCAGCTCAGCCACAATATGTATGCAAGTGAATCAAGGCCAAATCACGAAAATGGCGGTTGTTTGGAAATTTTGTTTTAATGAGCTGAACTGATTCTTGGTACAAATTTTCATATAACACCATTCTGTATCGATCACACGTTTAAGATTGTTAAAAAAATTGCTTCTCTGTTAAAAATTTTTAAACCGCTAGCATGGAAAAACCAAAAATGACCCTGTTTGGAAAACTCATGTTACTTTTTTCTTAGTGTGAGCTCTTTTTTATACAAGACACTATCCACAAAAAATAAAAATCAACGCGATTTTTCAGCAATTTGAAACTTGCTCATTATTATACTAAAACTTAATGGGCTTCAAAACTGCGTTCTCAAAATTTTTCCCCAAAATCAGAAAGTTGTATGTATGTAAGTCTATTGCATTTTCTTGAGTTTTTCACAAAGTTTTTTTTTATGTGTTTTGTTGTGGTTAGCTATAGTTTTATAAAAAATTAGTAAAAAAGATATTTAAATGAAAGACTTCGCATACATTAAAAAAAACTCTCTGTAAGAAGACTTTAGTGCAACACTGTATTAAAAAAAATAATACAGTAATTAAAATAGACGACAGATTTTTCTTTGTTATCCTCTTTAGAAGAGATATGGATCAGACAATATTTTTGACCGCCCAAATCGAATAAATCTACCTGTGTGCAGAGCTTTAGTAAACACAATGTACAATTTATCTTACTTCTTACAAGATTATATATGTAAATTTCAAATTATCGGTTGGATGCTTGTAGGTCATATAGCTCGAACTTTGAGGGGTCACTCATAGGTGAAACGTATTAGACGTCTCGTCAATTTAAGCTTATTTGACAAGTTTACCCTAATCGCCAGTCCCCTACCAAAATTCTATATCCGCCACTGAGGCTGATGCTACGGTTCCGATATTACGTGCTTCGATTCAGCGGCCTAAACCGATTCTGGTGAGATTAATATCCGATCGATATAAAAAGAGCTCAGTTAATGAGAAATATGCTTGTGAGAGAATTTTGTATCGGATGTTTTGGCTATTATCTTGATAGAAATAAAAATAATGTATGTAAATAAAATACAGAAATTGAGGAGCAAATAATGACTACACCTTGCAAATTTCAAATTTCAATTTTCCCCGTAAATATATATATATACAAATACATTTGTATCTTGATAACGCGAATGACTTCTAATGTGGATAGAATAAAATTCCGACGACCTCCTTGCATATGTGCGAAGTAATGTTATGGCGTTTTTTGCAGCTGATATGGGGCGCAATATGAACGACTACGAACATATGAAATGTGTATGAAATTACATATTTCTACAATATACTTACTATTCTCCATATAAGTTTTAGCTTTGTAGCCACCAAAGTGGTGCGAGTAGTCCGATACGAAGTGCAAACCCAAATATGAGCCTGTCGAGACGTGACGCAACAACTTCAGTTTGGAGCTCCAATCACCGCATAAACGTTTTGGCAACGCGTTCGAATTCACATTGCCGATTGCGGAGCGCATGCGATTGTGATGATTAGCTGGATAGTTGGGATTCCCTCGTGGATAGTCCGGTGTCTGTATTAAGTAATTCGTGTGCGGTCGGTAGAGACTCGAGAAGATGTGTAGCAATTTTTGATAATTCGTTTGCGCGAGATTATAGTTGTTATAACTATTCGAATACAAATAGTTGGTGTTGTAGTTTGCATTTGCGTTCACATTCAAATTCATATTCGCCTCCATATGTATATTATTTACAGCATTCGCATTAGCATAATTAGTATATGTATTAGAATAGGAGTTTGTATTAGAATTACTAGATGTAGATGTAGATGTAGATGTAGGCATAGTATGCGATGAACTAAGGCTAGGTTTCTCATAAGAACTTCGCTTTCGAAAGGTTTTACTTATGTTAATACTACTTTTACTGCTATTATTTATATTTAATGTGTTTTTGTTTTTGGAAGATTTTGTAGTCTTGAAATTATCGTAGTGCGTGGGTTCGGTAATTTCCAAATAGTCATAGCTACAACTGCAAATTTTTCGATAAGATATCAGAAAATGGTTTCAAAAAGTTGGTTGAAATTAGAGACATATTTATTTATGTATGTAAGTACTTACCCCGCTTCATTCTCGATCACAAGCTCCTCAAATTCGATGACAACGCGATAGCCCGTTGGCGCTGTTATTGTTGTAAAACAATTAGCATTGTCAGGATATTGCCGTGGAAATGAGGGACTCCAAATGGAGGCACGCGGATGCTCCTTTGTCAACGAGACAGTCTTATTGCAGTCATTTATCCAGCTGCGGCGCAAAGAGTCTATGGAATGTAGAAATAAGAAATATTACGATTATAAGAGGCTGGAAAAATGAGGAGAAAGGGCAGAAGCGAAACTTGTAGTAGTTTATAGTCGTGACTCAGGTTACCAGAGAGTCAATGGAGTTCACAATACCATTAGAATTTTTTTACTTCCTCGCTGGATGGCCTATACTAGAAAATTAGTTGATATGGGTAAATCTTTTACATTGGCCTTTCCGGCAATCGCTGTGAAATTCAACAATATACAGTTCAGTAATACCAAGGGATTGAGCTTTCTGTGTAAGTAAGAAGAGTCCTGGACCAAACCAGGAAGAAAAACACTTGAACTGCTTTTGGACACGCACTTCCGTAGTAGGTTCTCAGGGAAAGTCACGGTCGACACTCATACGGGCGGATTGATGAATTTAGGAATCTGTTAGCAGGGAGAAGAATATTTGGGCAAGACTGAGCTTTAGACCCCGCAAAGCTGAAAGCTCGCATGGAATCACAGTTGGATGTAATGCCCCAATTTTCTGTAGATGGACTCTTGATACGGTCTAATTCCCGTTTTACATAAATTTAACTGCATACCGATATTGGCGAGTTGCCTCGGCTGTTTTTATGCACCAGGGAGGATCTCAAACCCATTCGTCTTTCCTCGTTTGTGCTCAAATCCCTACAGTTAATAGCCTGCATTTCTCTTACCGTTGACAGTCAATTTCTGTCTTATGATCGACATTTCTATTAAAATGGCAAGTCCATGGAGGCCATGCTTACAGCCTGCGAAATGTGCCCCAGTTCCAAGGACTATTGCCTTGTGGCTTTCTAGACACTGAAGGAGCATTCCATAACAGAATAACTGTGGACATAACAAATTTCGTGAGAACACCTGGAGTAGACAAACCTCAGGTGGAGTTTTTAAAGGATGTGCTCAAAGCAGAGAAGTACCGGCAGGAGCATAATCGATAACCTAGATTCGAGATATGGTGCAAAAAGGTACTTTCAATGTTCTCTCGCCACTTCTGTGAAAACTAACTTAACATTGCCGGTTACCACACAGCAGCTAAACGAGACCGCCTAAGTCTCACGAATAAAGCCAAATTTGTATACTTAACTCTGAAGAGGAAGCTGAGCTGGAAAGAGGACAAAGTTCAACATTATGGGAATGGTTCTATAAACTCATTTGGTTTCTCTGTCTATCTTCTAGGAAATGACTGGTGGATAGTAGCCGGTGTGGATGAGAGGACAGAGGAGCGTATTTATTACCACTCCATAGGACCTATGTTCGATCCCCGGCCCAAGCAACATCTAAATTAGAAAAAGTTTTTTCTATTCAATGGAAAACCTGTGGATGGATTCAAACTTGAAAGAGCTTCTCATAAGAAACCATTTGTCAATCGGAGGCGGCATCCCTCCATTAGTGTTATATGTAACATCAGGACGCACATCACAATCTGCATGAGAAGCTCGGCCAAACACCTTTCAAAAGGATAAGTGCAAAAATATTATTATTTTTAATTGAAAATGCATAAAAAACACGATGAGTTGAATCTGTAGGCAAACGTGGCTTAAGTGGTAACGCATCGTAGGTATATCTGACACCTTAGGAGTTTAAACTGACCCTTGCCTTACAACTAGGTATATGAATCGGCTCGGATCACCGTTTCGTAGATGCTGTAGGAGCTGTAAAACTGCTATGTTTGGGAGCTTCTTGCTGCAGCCTGGGTCGTCATTTTTGCACCACCTATAAAAAGAGGCGGGTAAAAGCCTTAAATGGCTGACGAAACCGTAAATAGTTCTTCAATGGGGAAAATTTAAGTTGTCTTAAACTTTAGGTCTAAGTGTGTCATTCATGCCCTAATTAGCTCTGTTGATGAAGCCTAGAGATACATCGGAATTAAGTATACTAGCTACTATTAATCCCCCTGGAAAACTTCTCGCATCCCAAAGATGGCTTTACTCCTTCCAATAATTTCACTGCTTCTAAATTACTGTCCAAGTATGTATCCAACGGCCCTATAACGCACCGCAAAGGTCGAACTTCACCGTATGGTAGTGCTCCGCTTCCAAGGCGAATACTTTTGAACTTCATTCCACACAACCACAAAATCTTTTGGTGCGATTATGACATTATTTTTTTCTACTTTAAATGGAAATCAAATTATCAATCGTACAAAATAAAGGTAGAGCTGGATGGAGGTGGACTGATATCCTGGGTCTACATACCAGCTGGCAGCTACATTTCGGGTGTAAATATCTCATCGTGTTCTACATAATCTTCGATTGATTTATAAAGAGAAGAAATAGCTCAATATAAAGAACGAGGACTGAGATAGACCAAAATAAGAACATTAACCCAGGAAGTGTTCCATCCGGGAATTTACAAGGTAGCTTGCACAGAAGGAGTGCAAACATTTGGCTGATGCTCATTCCAGAAAGAGCATGGAAGTTTTGAAATTTGTTTCCAACCAGCTATCTGTTTATCTCTTTCTCTCCTACTCTCTGATTTTATTGCCATGATTATAATTCTTTAGACTTACCTTCGCTCATCGCTCGCTCACATATCACAAAATTTTTCGCGCTGCAATCGCGATCGTTCCACATGAATGTGCTCGTCAATGGGTTGCGGTTCGTTTGAATACCTGGCGGTGTGCGAAAAAAACGACGGAGTTCTATACAGTCTTGGCTGCTAAGACCATCATCGTTGGGCTGCTTATTATAGTGACTGTGTTCCGTCCATCCCGGAAACCAGTCTAGTCAAAGTAAAGAATAGGAGGAAAATGCAATTAGTTAAGCCAATAAATATGTTTAAGATCTGTACTTTGTATGTACTCACTTGTATATTGAAACAACAGCCCATCGCTCCAGCGAAAGTCTCCTTCATAACTGCTATCCGAGCCACCGACCCAGTAGGCGTTTTGCTCACTATAACCCGGACTGTTGAAAACTAACTCATTGACTATTTGTTGTTGCTGTTCAGTGCGAATGGAAGCTAAATGGCCGCCTAAATTTACGCAATGTTCCTCGGCATCTGGCCAAGACATGACCGTTTCGATGGCGTTTATACAAAATTGCTGCATTGCAATCCAGCCGAAGTCGCAGCTAGAAACGATTTCGGTAATAGGCAGCGCTCTGTAGGCCAAATAAATAGTCGGCAGTTTAGTAAAGGATGTATTGTTGTCCGTGCCTGAACTCAAGTCCCCACCTAGAGGCAAGGTATTATATGTGGCACGCGATGCTTTGAAGAGATGTATGCTCAGCGTGTTTCCCGTTGAGGTTAGAATAAACGCACGCATGCGGTTTGTGTCGTTTATGCAATATGACCAGCGAATGTAATCGCTTTCGAATACCTTAATAACTACGCCATCACAGTTAGAAATATCATTGACCGCCTGCAAAGGTTTGCCGCTGGCGCCGTAGTTAAAATCCTTCACTTGATTTTCCATGAGCCTCAGAAATCCATCGAGCGCACTGGTAGAGCGCTTATTAATATGCTTTCGCGTGTGATTGTAAGCATTCCGCGTGCCTGAGTCATCATCAGTGCGTGCCGCCGCCTTGGGCTCGGTACGCCTAAACAGTGTTGTTGCAATGGGATTCTTCTTTGCGCTCCCAGTGCCACTATTGGCGGTCATATTTATGCGCTGCGTGTCGACTTGTACGCCCTGCGTGGTGTAGATGTTGAAAGTGTCCTGCTCACCAGCAGCATTCAGTTGAATACCGTCATTTGGCTGTAGTATGGCGCTATCGTTGTTCGTTACGAGCGTTAGACTTATGCGATTACCGTATGGCAGATGGATACGAAAGTAGCACTCCAGTGCATCGCGCATGCTTGGGCGAACATAATACTCGCCCGACTGATTACTCGTTGTAAGATTGTAACAGTAGTCTACTAGCTTGTAGCTCAGACTGAACATTGGACTCTTGTGGAAGTGTACTGTGGTGCGGCTACGCACATCGAAGTGATAGCTCCGATCGGCAGCATTCAGCTCTTCCAACTTGCCACACAATCGCGAACGATCGTTGAAACGTATGAAGCCACCGCTGTTGCAAGGTACATTCAGTCGCTGCAGTTCAACGAGTATGCCCGCCGGTGGGACGTCGCCTTTCTCCAAATTCGCAGTCGCTGAGGGACTGTCTGGCTCGAAGAGTCGATACGGAGGGAAATGTACCGAGCAGTCGATGCTGTACAATGGAAGTGCTGTGTAATCCAACGACCCTCGGGAAACTTCTCGTAATAGCAATTGGCAGTCTATGGAAAAGAAAGTTAGGGGAAAATTAAATCAAGAGTCGTTAACACAAGCGAGTGCTACGCGTTTGAACATTTTGTTTAAGGCTAGCTTGCGACCAAAAATTGTCAGTCGTGATTTATAAAGCCGGCAAAACGCGAGTGGGTGAACATATTGGAATGCAAAATAATGGACAATTAAAAAAACATGGTTATTAATTGTATAATAAAAGCACAAGTCTAAGGACATAAGAACGTTGAATTAGATTAGGTTAGATGAGGATGGCTGTTTCTATAGGTTGGTGCACTTATACTAGTAATCCAATTGTCATTTGTCGTGCCAATAAGAGAGGATACGGGGGAAAAGGAAATGTGTTGGCTGAACAGTCTCGCCTAATAGTTTGTGGTAGAAAAACGTTGCGTTCTATCAACAAATCTCCGCAAGTTGCTTACGTCTGTTCCCAAAAGCTTCTCGGGGCGAGAAAAGTCAGATTCAGAGTGTTTAAACTTTAAATTCTAGAAGGGTGGGCTGATGTTGTTTCACCCCCTCGAACCCCATACAGCTGCTGCAGTTGCGCCTTACCGCATTAATTCTGATCGCAAAATGACCGGTTATTTATCCCACTTACCAGAGATAAGAGCTACATTTACTGTCGTCGGTTAACCCGTTGCCACAAGAACCTAGCCACCTTGCATTCCAAGGTTTTTGAACATCATTTGCAGAGCTGACTAAAACCCATCTATCCAGAAGAGTACCAGATGTCGCCAGTGGAGCTCCGACCATTTCCTTACTCGGCAACAATTCCTCAAGCGTGTCATGTGAAATAAGTAATTTTTTTCATAGAGAACTTTCCTTTCCCTAACAGGGTTGCAGACATGGGCAGCATAAGCCGATATAATTCGGGAATTTTTAATGACTTTGCTGTTATATTTTTCGTTACCTTCAAGGAATTTTCGGTTTTTTCGGGACTTTTCGAAAATTCTATGTTGTGTTTTATTTTTTAGGATCTTACTGAAATTTCGCGGAATTTTTTGGGACTCCTCGGGATTTATTTCTGGACCGCTTGGGAGTGTTCCAGGATTTTTTTTAAGCTTTTCCGATATTTTTCAAGACTCTTTTTTGAGATCTTCGGGATTTGTTGCTATATTTCTGAACTTCTTTGTCCTTTCATTTGCCATTTTTCTGGAACTTTTTTGTGTTTTTTCTTTGCATTTCAAAACCTCTCGCGAATTTTTCGGGATTTTCTGAAATATTGCTGGAAGTGTGCATGCTTGATTTTTTGTGGTATTTCGGGAACGGATTACTTCTTATTTAAAAATACAGGCTTTCTCATATTCGTTATTTTTTACATTTGAGTCCTTTGCATTTGCTAATATAGTCCAATCAATCCATGTCGAATAGACTAAAAAATGGTTGGAGTTGACCATTTTTGATTTGGATGAATATTGGCCAGATTTTTCTATTGTCATATAACGACATTCTACCAACGGAAAAAGTTAATTTTTTTCCAAAGTCTAGATCTCACAGTTTCCGGGATTTCGTAAGTTAATTTTTTGGTTTTATTTTAAAATAATATTTAGCGATATAAAGCAAAAATATATCAAAACATTCGAAAAAAATGATCGAATTTCGAAATTAAAATTATTTTTACACTACACCACCAAATGGTCTTAAAGATACTGAAATTTTCAAAAAGATGTAGTTTTTAAGATTTATGTACATATGCATGTAAACTTTCGAACCGTGAACAATTTTTTTTGTAAACCCTATTAGAGTTAAACAAATTTTATTTTATTTGCATTTATTTTTAATTTGGAGTTTGCAATAATTTTTTTTCCAAAATTTCAGGATCTATTAAGATAAGCCAGAGGTTTTGAATAAACAATTTATATACATACATTAGTTTTTGCTTTGAATTTCCAAATTTTATAACTTTTTTAAACCGTGGCCAGAACCATTTTTGTAACTACATATATAGTTTTTGGGATATAGATATAAAAATAAACATCCAAAATCCGAAAAATTATGAAATTTGGAGCTTTTAAAAAAATATATATTTTTTCCTTTAGCAGAACTCTGATATGTGATAAAAGAAAAGTTCTCTCCAAAATTCATCAACATCAAAAATTGTTGAACGAAACTATTGGACAATAACGTAAGGCTCATAGTGTTCATAAGCAAAAATAATAGTCTCGATGAATTGCATGGAAAAGGTAAAACAACACCCACTCAGCGTTTGCAAGCGCTAGATATAAATAAATTTTCCAGCAATTAAAATACTTAGGCCAATTTGTTAAGTTTTCTACTTTCATGCAGTTCAGTTTTTCTTAGTTCTTTCAACACAAGAAAATTTATTGTTGTTTTTTAATTTGCATCGTTCTGCGCTACTCACCTTTACGTAGTTGAAATTTAAAAGTTTTTTTGAACACCACATGTTGTGCTTCGAGTTTTGTGTTGTCATTGTTGTTGTTGTTGTAGCTACTGTTATCATTACCGTAGTTGTTGGTGTCACCAGCACTGTCACTCTGGAAGGTCGCACGAAAAAAAACTCTGCAAAAATTGTAAGAAAAAGCAAATGAAAGCCAGCAGAAGGAAACTTTATCAGTTAGTAGCCGTTCAAGTTGAAGTTTTCGCCATAAAATATATCTTTTCTTTGAAATTCAATGCGTCACCGCAATGGTAAGAAAAGTTCAAGTATAGTAAAGTCAAGTTTGGTAATAGTTTTTGTTCGAAAATTTTATAAAAAAACGTAGTTTATAGACAAAAGTATGTACATAGTAAATACGTAGTAAAAAGTCAATGGCATGAAAATTAAATAAACCAAATATACTGGTACGTACATTTTTATAGTAAAATGTATATTAAAATAATACATAGAAGGTAGACATTAGAATATCTACATACATGAATGAAACAGAAATATTCTAAAAAATTAGTACTTTCGATGTACCGGCCAACGTCTTAGTATGTAAAGCGCAAGACATTCTAAAAATAGCGTCCGTATAGCACACGTAGCTGCGCGTTTTTAATATGAGGTGAGCCAGTGTTGCCACTCACATATTTTTTCCTACCAAAAAACGTACCAAAACGATTTTGAGAGTACCAAACAATTTTTTTGTAGTAATAAACGAGACATTATTTTTCTAATTTATTATTTTTCGGAAAGGAAACACAAAGTTTTAACCATAAATTTATTTCACTGGGTTAAAAAAGATTTTTTTCACGCAGAATTTTTCGCAATGTCGACATACAATGTTTTCTAATTTAATTTTTTCTGCTATTTTTTATACTATAACAACAAACATAAAAATGTAATTTCTAAAATCTTTTCAAAACTCAGGAGAATTCAATAAATTTTCGTGCAAATTTCAAATTTTTTAATCAGATTTTTTAGAAATTTTTTGAGTATGCAGTTTTGTTGCCCAATAAATTTTGAACGCGGTCAAATTTAATGCACTTCAAATTAATCTAGCTTTCTTACTTGTCCATCACTCCATTAAAACTAATCTGTCTTTATGTATTTACTCATTGAAAAGTCAAGCATGATAGAATACAACATTGCGCCATCCAGTCAGCGATGACTTTTCTTAAGTAAAAGTAAACAAAACCGAATAGGAGGATAAAAGAAACCGTCAAAGCAGTGAAGTTTTTAATACATATTAAATTTTTCGATAGAAAACATGCTTCAATTGTGTTAAATTATAAAAATATATGAATTGACAAGACCAATGTTGCGGTAGCCCTGACGGCGTCACCCAAGAACACAGAATAAAGAAAAATCAAAAATATAGATGTAAATAACTGGTAAAATTGTCAAAAAGCAAAATTGCTCGCAGAGAAAGAGAGAAAAACCAACAAGTACGGGAATGCTCTTCGGGTAAAAACTAGTAAAACAGTCAAATACACCGTGGACGCCATTTTTTTTGTTGGTATAGCAGTTTTGTTTATCATCTGGGGGATTTGGGGGTCAAGAGCGTATGTGCTCTTGCGTATCCTAGTGAAAATGTGTCTCTTTGGGCGAGTCACAGAAGTGACCGAGATTATTTGACCAAAGTAGGTAGGGCNAAGAAAGAGAGAAAAACCAACAAGTACGGGAATGCTCTTCGGGTAAAAACTAGTAAAACTGTCAAATACACCGTGGACGCCATTTTTTTGTTGGTATAGCAGTTTTGTTTATCATCTGGGGGATTTGGGGGTCAAGAGCGTATGTGCTCTTGCGTATCCTAGTGAAAATGTGTCTCTTTGGGGGAGTCACAGAAGTGACCGAGATTATTTTACCAAAGCAGGTAGGGCGGGTAGGGTGGTCCAAAAATATATGTCATGAAAAATGTTTTAAAGTGTTCTTCCAATTGTTTATTAAAGCACTTTTTATATTAAACATTTTGTGAACCTTAGCGTCATAACCAGAGATACATAAAACCCACGTTTCAGAAATGACGGTATTCCAAAAGACCTACCAGCGGTGGCGGAAATAAAGAATGCCGAACAAAAGGATTCTAATTTTGATTCCAGATAATGTTTATCAATCAAAATTAAGTTGTTTATGTAACCATTATTGCAGGTTACCTCAAGCATGCTGCGCAATCAAATGCTGTCATTCAAAATCTAGCAATGACACGATGTTGAATATGACTTGTATCAACAAGCCACAGTACTTGAATCCATTCCACGAAATTTACTTTGCATTAATTGCGTACAAATAACAGTTAATTATGCTGTACATTTCGAAATATTTGTATGTATGGGCTGCTAAACACACTTCACAAACACATCTCCATCTGCTAGGAAATTAAACGCGGTTCACTAGCAAATGATGATTTAATTAAATGGACACAATGCTTTCACTACAAAGTAAATTGAATTAACTCCACCTCTTTGCCCATTTCGCTCAGACGGCAAACCGCAATTATAACTTGGCAATTATCTGCAAATTACTCTGGTTATCATTATATGAATTGCTCTTCGCTACAGCGTTCAACATCCGCAACAAACCGACAATTATGGCACGCATGAGAAGTAAAGGAAGAAGATGCTAAAGAAGGTGATGATGAGAAGAAAAATATGACAGGATATGCATTAGAGTGGTCCAAAAACGGCAAAGTCGGAATTGTAATGCTCTTACCCCCTAGCATTGTTCTATATCGGAAAAAGTATACCCCTATTTTTTTTACTTTGAAATCAAAAAATATTTAGAGGTTTCAAAGTTTTCCATCTATTTTTATATGGGGAAAATAAATTTTTGCGTAGAAATGGTATAGGAATTCTTGAAAATCAATATTTTTCTATCGGAAACCTCTGATTCTTTTCAGGAGACTTTCGATACTAATACCCAANAGGGAAGTAAATACTATAAAAACTGTGGACATAATATGAAAATTCGTCTGAGTTCAATTAGTACACTTTTAAAGAACGTGTGAGACAGGGTTGCCACTGACGAAAAAAAATGTTTACCATCCACTTAAAAAAAATTTACCAAATCTGGGAAATATCTACCAATAACTTTTTTATAGTTATTTTAATAAAAACAATAGT